GAGAGAGAGAGAGAGAGAGAGAGAGAGAGAGAGAGAGAGAGAGAGAGACCTTTATTATTGTTAATCGCTTATTTTAGATTTGTGATGATATTGTGTGAATTTAAAAATGTGCTGGATTTACTGTGTGTCTGTGTGAGTAATATAGACAGGCAGTGTGACGAAGAATTGCTTCAATTTGTTTCCCAGTTCAGGTATGCGGTATGCCCACATAAGATAGTTAGAATAAGATTAAAATAAGCTACACAGAATATGATATAACTGAAAATATAAAGAGAAAGAACCCGAAAAATGGAGGCACCAAACCTAATAATAATAATAATAATGATAGTCCTTAAATTGTGAAAATGTTTTAAAAATATTTAAAAAAATGAACATATATAAGAATCTAAAAATAAAAAGTGTGGAAAAAGAATTTTGCCCGTTGGATTTAATTTGTTATTAGCCATTTTGTACACAAGTTCTTGCCTTTCAAGGATACTCTCATAGTCTCATGTACATTGTATCAAGAATTAAAGGAACAATTTGTTCCACAGAAGCTGTAGAGTACTAATTTTACAAAATGAGCAAAAACGGGTAATATTTCAAATTTGGTGTATTAAATTTGTAAGTGAATATAATTCAAAATTTAAATAAAATTTAGTAAATTAATCGTTGGATTACTAAAACGAGAAGCTTTCTTACAGTGAAGAATAGATAGCGTCCCGTCCCATGAGTCCTTAGTCAGCATTTTTTTCAACAAGTATAAGCTTCAGTGGGGTTTTTCTACTTTGACAGAGCAGCTCTGTGGGCCCCAGGAGTTTAAGTACCATATTTTCTTGAGCTTCTTCTGGAAAGGATAGTACTCTGCTTATTTTCTCGAAATCTATAGTCGATGTTTCCTTTATGCGGTATAAAAAGTGGTGGGCATTAAATGGCTGCTCAATTGTGGGTAAACTATTGAATTACTCGCTCTGTTTTCTATTATTTTGGGAAAATACAATGATGATTTTGCGGAAAAGAAAAAATATGAATGTTGTAATTAATGTATATGAAGTTTTTGACATCATGATGGTGAAATTAAAGGAGCTCCATCAATTTGGGTCCAACTATCACTTTGGAGTTTCATTGATAATTTTTTTAAATATTTAAAACTATCAATTTAAAAACTAGTTTATACTACCTCCTATTCTTTTTAAATTTTATTTTGACTTAAACAATCGTTAACCAAATAAATGATGTTTTTGATCTTTTATACATATTTTTTCATTATTACCTTCATTTAACTAATAAATACACTACGTCTTTTCATATCCACTCTTCATATTTTCTCAAAACATCCATCTCTATCTTCATTAATGAGAGTTATTATTGGCAAAAAAAAAATCTTATTTACTGTGCAACTTCTTAAAACGACACTTATTATAAATAGGAGAGAGTATCAATTTAGGGATTAATGGATGGTTCTGCCTTTTGAGCATTGTTTTCTCAATTGGCTACAGATAATTATTCGACACCATTCACTCGAGAATTCTCATCACATCTTGGGATTTTCTTCTCAAAAGTGTCTATCTAGTTGAAGCGTAGACTATATAGTTTCCATTAGGCCACTCAATTCACTTTAGAAATAGCAAATATGATACTCCTTCGAAAATTCATGTTGTATGCAAGTCATAGGAGTTGCATATATTGCTCGAAGCCTCATCAAAAGGCTCGACATCCTACTATAGGAATTAAGTGATCTCTAACTGAAGCCTTAATATCTTTTTTTATGAGAAAAATTGTGAAGAAAATTTCGATGAAACTCGTCGCACATCGTCACTGTCCCTGCTCCAATCACATTATACTAACTCTTCGCTTAATCTCCCAGAGAGAGAGAGAGAGAGAGAAAACAAAAGACAAAGTCTAATAGAATCATTATGGACTCCAGTGTACTTCATTGTGCTGCAGATTTTTAAGATTGCACAATGTGTGCACTCGAATCATCAGTTGGGTCTCCCCAAATTGATCTTGAACCATTTGTTTTAAAGTCGGGACTAACTCGAAATTGTTGGCCATGATTCATAGTCCATGGCCTTCTCCATATGCTCGGTTCGCTCGCAGTTGAAAGATGTTCCAAACTGGTACTCCTTTCATCTCAACTTGTCGTTCTATCATTTGTCGATGCAACTTCTTTATCTTTGATTCGAGTTGTGTCATCATCTTCAATTGTTCATTTCAGTCGTCCATCGTCTTGGTCATCAGTTGCCTCCTACTCGTGTTATTTATTCGGCACGTCGCTTCTATCTCAGGATCAAAAAGTACAAGTGTTCGTAGTAGTAGTAGTAGTAATCACATAATAATAATAATAATAATAATAATAATAATAATAATAATTTTAATAATAATAATAATAATAATAATAATAATAATAATAAGTTATTGGATCCACACACATTGTAAAAATAACTCAACTTTAAAAAGTTTTTCAATTCCAAGATAAAGATGTACATTTCTTGCAAACCACTCCTTGTCTGCTGTACAATTTCAAATTGGCATTCATGGCTGTTAGTTGTTGCCACTTTATTTCCAGGCAATTATATTTTCTTAAGTATGCACAGGATCTTAATTATATTAGCAAGGATTCTTGGGTAGATTTGTGATTTGATCTTAATCTAAATATATATAATCAATTGTACCTTGGTAAAGTAAGTTAGTTGATTATTTTGACCAATGATTTAAATACCGGCCGGTAATACCGAATACCGGCCATTGGTACGGTATAATAAAACGTAAAATACCGGATTTACGATTATACCGGTTTGTACCGGGATCATACCGAAAAATGCTGGTCCAACATACCGGTCAATACAAAAAAATAAAAAAAAATAAAATTTATTAATTTAAAAACATAAAATTTCAATTGGTAGTTAAAATGTTTTATTTTTATCTCAATGAGAAGTTGAAATTAATCATTATAGTCATTTATTTTTTTACTTTTTTGCATTTGGTATTATATATTTTTATGTATATTTGTATTTATCATTATATTTACTAGTTCGGTAATACCACCGATATTATTGGTCTGACCGGTAATATCGCGTACACCAGGCTAGACCGATATGGCCACCGATACGGTATTTAAAACAGTAACACTGCATATTTTGGCCAGGCAATGGGGATCCCAAGTGCTATTATATTGTTATTAATTGTTGGAGGACTTAATAGATAAACGTTGGCGTAACGATGTTCCACGAAATATAGTTGTTGTTGTTGTGGTATTTTTTTTTTTTTTTTTTTTNGTTTTTTTTTTTTTTTTTTTTGTCCTTTGGTTTTTAAATTTATAACTCATTTGGAAGATTTTTTGAGTAATAATTTCGAATCTCAACTTGGGGTCGTTATTTGATTAATTTTTACTTCTACTGTTTTTAAAAATATTTTATCTTTATATCGCTCTTTAAAAAAGTTTTATTAACTATGGTTTTTAAATTACATTTACATTATTTATATCATTGTTCTAAAAATCGACTTAGGCGGGCGCTAGGCGGTGCCCGGACACCTCCGATTTGCATAAATCGGCAGAAAAAATCGACCAGGCGGCTAGGCGGGCCTAGGCGGCCCTAGGCGCTCCTAGGCGGACTCGGCGGCGATTTTTTAGTTTTTTTTAAGTACTAATTATATTATTTTGTTCTCATGTTTTCTTTAAAATATATTAATATTATTATTTGGACTTAAGTGTGTGGATTTATTAAAAGTTGAGATAGGTTTGTTTTGTAGCTAGTTAAAATACATAAAAATAAGGTATTTAATATTAATTTCTAGGCCCCGACTAGGTGGTCTAGGCGCTGGTCGAGAGCCTAGCGGGCGCCTTGCGACTTTTAGAACACTGATTTATATTGTTGNGATTGTTAAAAGAAACGAGCTACTAATGAGCTCGGTTTGACGTTTGTTTGAAGCTCGATTATTTGTCAACGAGACGGACTCGTTGGGGCTGGAAATGAGAATTTTTTTTACAATCTTTTATTGCTCGATTCGTTAAGGCTTGAGTTGATCTCGTTAATATTCGAGTTCGGCTCGTTAATATTGATAGTGAGCCGAACTCGGGTACCATTAGCTCGCGCTGGACTCTACTCATTTATACTCCTGATCTCAAAATGATTAAGCCGTGAGGTCGGAAATTTTTACATACACAAAGTTCTTCGACAGGAAAGTCCTTTCGATTAGACTCCTATCTCATTACATAATTCACTAGGGATATAAACAAGGTTTAGACTAGTCATCATACCGATCAAGCTAGTGGTTTAATTGTTCACTGATCGGATCAACGGTTGAACACTGTTGAATCGGTATTTAATTTATTATTATTTTTAAATATATATAACATTTTTTATAATAAAATTTATATATATATAATTATTTGTGTTAGATACTTTGATTATTCAAAACATTCAAATGTCAAAACTATTTGATATATTAATTTATACATACTGTTGTGACCATTTTTGTTACGTTTTTCGTTACTATTTTGTTATTCTTTTTCCCCTGTTTTAGGTCCTTTAGTTGGTTTTTAGTTCATTTTGTAGTTTATTGTGTGTTTTGCTCTATTTTGGCTTTTTATGTGTTTTTCGTATATTTTGTCGGTTTTCTATGTTTTTTTTCTTCTTGTTTTTGGTGTGCAGGTCAGAAGCCCGTGAGGCATAGATTTCACTCGAAAATGGTCCGGGAAACCATGGTTGGATAGATGGGTTAGTTGGCGATATATAGGAAAAAGCGGAACTTGATTTCGAGTTCGTACGAGTCCGAACGAGCCCAATACGCGAAGTCGCACGAAGCACGTCTTTGGTGTGCTGGTCATAAGCTTTGAGAGAATTGTATTTCAAGAATAATTTGGCCATTCAAGCATCATTGAATAAAGGGGTTCGTTAACGACGCGTAGGAAAAAACGGAACTCAATTCCGAGATCGGACGAGCCCAAACGAGCCCGAAACGTAAAGTT